TCTAATTCCATATGCCCAATCCTCTTTAGAAATGTGAAGAGAGCTCTCACATTCCCTTGGAGATATCATTTCTCCATATGATCCCCTCATTTCTTTGATGACTTTTCCTATATACCTACCTGTTTTTCTAACTAAGTGATTTGTGATTCTGGCTGTTTTCCACAAAATCAACACTCAGAAATATTCATTGAGTGCCTGTTATGTACAAGGAAGGGCCTGTGCTGGAGAAAGGTCCTTGGCTTCTGGTTGCTCAGTTTTTTTATTTGTTATATGTATTTTTTGAGACAGAGTCTCGCTCTGTCACCCAGGCTGGTATGCAGTGGCACAATCTCGGCTCACTAGAAGCTCTGCCTCCCAAGTTCAAGCGACTCTCCCACCTCAGCCTCCTGAGTAGCAGGGACTGCAGGAGCATGCCACATACCTGGCCAATTTTTGAATTTTTTTGGAGAGACGGGGTTTCGCCATGTTGGCCAGGCTGGTCTTGAACTCCTGACCTCAAGTGAGCCCACCTCCCCCTCCCAAAGTGTTGGGATTACAGGTGTGAACCACTGTGCCCAGCCAGCATCTGGTTGCTTATAATGGAGAGGGAGGAAAGACTGATATCAACAGGGAAGAATCGGGGAGATGGTTTCCTGGTTTATCCAGTGTCTCTGAACTGCAATTTCTGTTCTGGGTCTTAACTGTCAGTATAGGGGCCACACTTAAGACTGTCCTTCCGTATTACAGCTTATTCAGTGAGGAACATCATGCAAACTAAAATAGAAAAGAAAAATTAATAGCAAACATTAATCATTAAACATTTTTTAAAATTCTTAATGTAAATTTTAAATATACTGTAAATCCTTTCATAAGGCAATACAGACTCATTTTCTTAATCATTTCCTTAATGAAAGTAATAAACAAGTGCTAGTCTTCCTTAAAATATAGCAATATGATCTAGAAAACTCTTTGGGCCCTTCTGTAGGCTTTGTAAACATGTTACAAAAACAGTCAGTCATTTGACTTGGTCTGCAGAATGTCAGACAATCCATAATTTTTTTCCCTTTACTTGAATAAAACACATTTTTCACTGAATTGACTAGGTTTCTTGTAGACACAGTCTTAGCAAAGAAAACTAAAAGAATTGCTTTTGGAGAAGAAAATTGTAGCTAGTTATATCTTATAAAACCATTCTTGTGTTCATTTTCTTGAGGAAATTGCTATAAGTGTATCTTCTAGGGCCAATATGTAAGAGACCTTTTTATGATTAAATAAAAGCCCAGAGATTTTCAGTATCAGAGTTGTTTTATTGACTTGCCTCAGTTCTAAAAATAAAATGAAAACCTTTAGCCAAAGGAAGGCTCATGCATTAGTTAAATACTGACATGATTTGAACTTATTTTATTTGCTTATATTATGTCTAATACCTATGTATGTCCAAGCTTTGGAGACACAAAGAAACATTATTGTATTAGAAGATTCTTTGGTTTTCTAATACATAATTTTATATCTAAAGTCCTGTTTAAACATCATTCCATGATTCTATAGAAAAAGAGCTATTAATCTTTGTGTTTACATAAGTTCACAATACTTGATTCATTTTAAGCCTCTAAAATATGAATGACATCATTTGTCCTGTGAGATAGTAGATTTGTTTTAGTAACAAATCTTTCAGATCAATTCATAAATGAGAAAGAAATAAATGTGAGCAAACGTTTGTTCTATCTTGGTTTTTAAACTAAAATAATTAGAATTCAGCCAGCCAAAAAGAAGTTAAATTTGAAATCTAATTCTTGTCAAGAAATTTTGCATGCAGCTGTTCAACCTATTGTTTTAGAATTGCTGTGGTAAGAAAATATAACATTACTTTGGCAAATGTAGGGCTTGGTAGGCTGGAGAGTAAAAATGAAACTTCTCAGTGAGTAATAGGAAGAATTCCTATGCTTTATGAATATAGCTACCAAATACTTCTAGGCAACTGATAAATCAGAAGACTGGAGTGAGAAAGTACTTAGAAGTCTATGACAATGTCAGTGATATGATAATGACTTATTGAAAAATTGATGAAAAATAAAAGGAAATGCTTTCTGAACAAAGCTAAGAAAAGAATAGCTGTTTTTAGATCCCCAAAAATATATCTTAAAATGAAAATTTTAATATTTAAAGATTCTGTTGAAAATTTGTGAATACATATATTTATAAACCTTGAAGGATATGGTAAGTATGCTTTTAGGAGTACTGTTTATCATGAGGAAACTCAAAGGCAGTTAAATAAACATGTAGGTTATAAACACTTCTTACAGTTTCTTATAAAAAGTACTACAAAATCAGTATTCTTAATGTATGCAAAAAAATGATGTTTTACACATCTGACGTGGAACTTCTCTACACCTGCAGAGAGAAAGCACTGTTTTTCCTAAACAGAAAGCCTATTATTTACAGATCTACTCCGCTGCTCTGAGTCATTGATGGTTATAGGTTTTATATTTAACCTGAAATGCAAAACATTTTCTTCTAGGCCTGAAGTTAAATTATTTTGCAAAGTGGTACAGGTACATTCTGAATTTTGTCTTGCTACATATTCTTGAAAAACAAGGTTAAGTGTTTATAAGAGGGATGTGTGTGTGTGTGTGTGCACGCACGCGTGCATGTGTGTGTGTTTTCAGTGGCATCAGTTGCATTCTTTTCTTCCTCTGCCTGCCTGGAGGGCACTTTTAACATGCCTGTCCCCACACTCTCCATTATGAGTTTTAATCACAATAGAAATTTTTTTCCCACCACTTTGATAAAAGGTTATATTTAGTGGGCTGACTTATCTATTAATTCTATCTAATAATCTTGTAATACACTGTATACATTACCTGGGGTAAATGTAAGTACAGCATTTAGGATTTTAAAATCTGTTCACAAATGAGATTGGCCTGTGAATCCCTTTTTTGGGGAACACTACCATGCTCAGATTTTGATTATTCTAATTGAATAAAATCAACTGGATGGCTTTGCATGCTCTGAAACCATTTATATGGGAATCATCTGTTCACTAAACGTAGGAAAGGACTCTGCTATGAAACTTCCTGAGTAAAATGATAAGTGCCATGAAGAAAAACAAAGCAAGTTAAGAGGGTAGAGGGAATGGGCCTGTTGTTTTAGATGAGGTGGTTAGGAAAGCTTTTCAAATGAGTGGAAGCCACAGTGATGCACGGGAGAAGAGCGTGTAAACGTTTGAGAGAGGAGCATCCTAGGGAGAGGAGGCATAAGGGCAAAGTCTTGAGAAGGGAGTATACTTGGCATATAGAGGAGCAAGAGGCTACTGTATCTGAGAGACAGGAGATATGAAAGCTGAGAGGTAATGAAGAGTCTGTTTATTGGAGGCCTTATAGGCAAAATTCAACAATATTTCTTTGTAATTTCTGTTCCTTAATCTTGCTCTTTAGTCATGTTTTTCTGTCTTTTAGGTTTGACTGCACACAGTATATTTTTATCTTTTTTTTCTGATTTTAATAAAGGTTTAAGAGTATAAATTTTCTTTTAAGTGCAGCTTTGCCTGCATTCTATTAAGCTTAATGGCCATAAGTCACATGGCTCTCCCTAACCTGAAAGAGAAGCCAGGAAATGTAGGATATTAATGAGCACATTGCTGCCTCAAACAAAATCAGGATTCTGTTAGTAAGAAAGAATGGGAGAACAACTTTTAGGTAAACTACTAGCAATATCTTTTTATAAAATCCTATGGGCCTGGCAGATTTTCCTGCCAATCACATTAGAAAAGGATTTGATAAAAGTCATCACAGCTTTCTGATTTGAAAACCAGATATTTCTGGCTGGACGTGGTGGCTCACACCTGTAATCATAGCACTTTGGGAGGCTGAGGTGGGCAGACCACAAGCTCAGTAGATCAAGACCATCCTGGCTAACATAGTGAAACGCTGTCTCTACTAAAAATACAAAAAATTAGCCAGGCGTGGTGGCACATGCCTGTAGTCCTAGCTACTCAGGAGGCTGAGGCAGGAGTATCACTTGAACCTGGGAGTTGGAGGAAAAGAAAAGCAAAAAACAAGAAAACCAGATATTTCTTTAATGAAATAAATATATCTAATTTCCTATTCTAGTAAAGTTTATTCCAGTTCAAAGGGTAAAAGTATATTGCACATATCCCCAGCTTTATCAATCTATGACTAAAAAATCTCTTAAAGGCTGTCTGAAATTGTATAGCATAAAACCATAATAATGTACTCTCAGTTACTTCTGGAAGTTTCTCAGGGTACTCCTTTATATGTACTGCAGAGTGTATTTTTCTTCCTTAACTGAGATCTTTCCAACTTGCCACCATGCAGCTGCCGATGGTCCTAGTTAAGTAAAATACCATCATACCTATTTTAGACTCAAGGAAAAATAGCACCCACTCATTTTTATTTTTGCTGAATATAAGAATGAGGATACTTATGATATTGTCTTTAAATTTTAGGATTAGGTAGTTTTATAAAAATCAAATTATTCACTCCTTTGTAAAGTATGTAATAGGAATTTGCTCTAATAATAAATAGATTAAGGTTTAAAATTTGAAACCAGAGTAATGTATATTTTACACCAATATTTTAAGCCTTTTAAAAAACCACAGCCTACATTAAGAAATACATTTCATACTGTGATCAAGTACACACACACACACACACACACACACACACACTCTCTCTCTCTCTCTATATATATATATATACGTATACGTCTAATTAAAAGTTTCACGGACATTTCTAAGGGTGTGTGCTAAATACTCTATATAATCTATTTGATTCTACTTTATTTTTAAAAAGTAATACCTTCAAAATGGATTTCATAACCCGCTACAGCAGTTTGATAAGATGTTGTTTTAGATCATGCTCTTGAGCAGTTTTGTGATCCTATTTTGTCCTTTTCATGTCTCTACGGGATGCTTCTAGTGCTAGTTGCTAGCTTTTCTCTGATTTCCAGGACAGTAATAGGATAAGAATTTTTCTAAATGGTGATTTCTTTTCTTTCTGCAGCTCTCATGTGTGAATCTGTGTCTGGTGCATCCTTAACCTAAGGACTCCACCAGTTCGAAGTTACAGTTTTCACCATCAACTACCTTATCCTTTTTGGTCTGGTTTTCTTCCTCAAACAGTGGAAACATTTTTAAAGTTGCTTTTGTTGCAGAGTTAAACAAATGGCTGATAGTGGCTTAGATAAAAAATCCGCAAAATGCCCTGACTGTTCATCTGCATCTCAGGAAGATGTACTTAGTGTATGTTCCAGCAAAACAAGCGTTCCTTCAATTTTGGTGGTGGAAATGTCACAGACATCAAGCGTTGGTAGTACAGAATCTTTAATTTCACTGGAGAGAAAAAAAGAAAAAAATATCAACAGAGACATAACCTCTGGGAAAGATTTGGTAAATATCAAAGATTCCACATCTAAGCACAAGTTGACATCCATTCCCTAATGCCACCCCTAGCTTCATCCATATCCCATGAGTCCTTGTTAGCTAATTCATTGCCTTCATAACTATTAAACATTTCTTTCTAAACAGAGAAGGTGAGCAAATTTGGTTAGTAACTTGTTTTATGATATTTTCAACCACTACCCAAATTAATTATTTCTCAGGACACGAAGTAAACATGTTATCCCAACTTATTTTTTAAATGATTTATACATACATGAATTGGTTTTCAACTTGAATTAAATCTGAAATTTTGAGTATTTTCTTCAACTGATAGAGAGGGAGATTTATGGTTGTGGTTAAATAAAGGGTGGTTATGGCTTTGTTATTTAAGTTGTGGTTATCTAAGTGGAATATTAACTATACTTTAAAAAATCAGCTTGCATTATTTAGAAATAATCTATGGCTACCCAATTGTATGGATTTTGATGTATTCATCCTTTTTTTTGGTGGGGAGATGGGGTTTCACTGTCATTGCCCAGACTGGAGTGGAATGGAGTGATCGTGGCTCACCGCAACCTCCGCCTCCCGGGTTCAAGTGATTTTCCTACCTCTGCTTCCTCAGTAGCTGGGATTACAGGCATGTGCCACCATACCCAGGTATTTTTTTTTTTTGTATTTTAGAGACGAGGCTTCTCTGTTTTGGTCAGGCTGGTCTTGAACTCTTGAACTCAAGTGATCCACCTGCCTCAGCCTCCCAAAGTGCTGGCACTACAGGCATGAGCCACTGTGCCCGGCCATATTCATCTTTATATAGAATAGGCAGGCAGTGTGTAAGATTATAGTTGATAGAGTACAACTTTGGAGACAGAGAGCAGTAAGTCTAAGAAAAGTCAGGTTCCCATTCCTCAAAATTGTACCATTTCATATGTTCTCCCTTGACTATTATTTGTCATTTGTATTGCTATGGAGCTACTGCCATATGGATGTCTCTGAGTGAGTTGTTACTATGTTATTTGCACTCAAAGCGTATTTGTCGAGTGGGTAATAATTTATGTATAAGCTATTTGAGATGGTTGTTACATTGTGAAAGGAGATTGATTAAGAAAGCTAAAGTTGCCTTCTTTGATTTCAGAGAATCACTAGGTAAGCTTTGATGAATCTGCTATGCTGGTTATCATGTAGACTTTCCTGGATTCAGGGGATTGGATTGAATAACTTCTTAAGTTCTCCTTTAGCCTCATGAGCCAATGAGTTACATAGGGCTTAGAATTTGAAAAAGACAGTAAACAATCTTATGCATAGTAAACATGGCACATGTTAAAGAGTTATCAGATTATCTAAATTAAGGTTCTTTGTCAACCAAAAATATTACATCTTAAAGTTTTTTTTTTTTTTTAATATATATTTCTTTTTGATCCCAGCTCTCAAGAACCTCAAATGTAGAGAGAAAAGCATCTCAACAACATTGGGGTCGGGGCAACTTTACAGAAGGAAAAGTTCCTCACATAAGGATTGACAATGGAGCTGCTATTGAGGTATATAGAAAGCAAATGAAGCTACTGTGAACTTTCAGGTTTCTTCTAAGTCAACGGTTAATGGAAAAAATGATTTAAAAATAAATCTCTAAGGAAAGGAAGTAAAGAGAAAACATACCATTTTCAAGTACGGTAACATTTTTACTAAAACAAATAGATTAATTATTTTCTGTTTATGGAAGACCAAGTGGATTTTTAATTAAAGTAGAGAACATTTTCATTAGACAAAATGAGCATATTTTCATCTTCAGGTCTTGGCCATTGCCGAAAGCAATAAGGGAGTCTTTGTTTAGACCTTTTCACAATGCAGAGAAGGACCAGATAATTTTAGTTAGTTTGGCCGTTCACTTCCTTGATAGTGAGGCCAAAATCTCCCCCATGAGCTCCTCCATCTTTTCCATCCTGTGATTGGATATATACCAATATTATTTTTCCAGGATTCAAATTATTATATAAAATGTGAATTAAATATTAGAACAATAGAAATAATTTAAATGTGTGTTTTTAACATTAAATGAACTGCAATAAGAACAACCACAAGAAGAAAATTGTGTTAGTGATACCATTTAAATTGTTTTGGGGCACCACAAACGGCACAATATAAGATGGCATACTTAATAAATGTATGTGTTCTGATTGCCCAACTGACTGACCACTCTTAATCGCCTTCCCTCTCTTGGGCCTCCCCAGTTCCTGATACACAACAATATTAAAATTAGGCCAATTAATAATCCTATAATGTTTCAAGTGAAACGGCAAGTTGCATGTCTTTCACTTTAAATCAAAAGCTAGAAATGATCAAGCCTAATGTTAAAACTTGTTTTAAAAGGTATTTGGCAACTTACTTGAAGTGATTAAAAAGCTGCCTGAGAAACTCTGTCTTGAAAAGTTTAAACGTCTCCCCTTTAAATAAAAGGCCTGTACTTAACAACACACACACACACACACACACACACAAATTTACCAAGTTTTAAATTTAGTCTTGGGCCAGGCACGATGGCTGCTGCCTGTGAGTCCAGCATTTTGAAAGCCTGAGGTGGGAGGATCACTTGAGGCCAAGAGTTTGAGACTAGACAACATAGCAAAACTCCTTCTCTACGGAATTTTTTTTTTTTTAGATGAGCTGGGTGTAGTAGCATGCAGCTGTAGTCCTGGTTGCTGGGGGTGGGGCTGAGATGTGAGTGTCCCTTGAGCCCAGAAGGTTGAGGCTGCATTGAGCTATAATCATACCACTGCATTCTAGCCTGGGCGACAGAGTGAGACCTTGTCTCCAAAAACAATTAAATAAATAAATAAATAAATAATTTAGTCTTAAGAGCTTTTATAAAAGCAAAATGTGTTCATTGTGAAAAATTAGGCAAATATAAGTGTGGAGAAAATAAAAATCAACCAGATATCACCAATTTGACTCTTACCTTCACTTTTTCTATGTATGTACTAGTTTTGTTTTATCATTCTTTAACATTTTTCCTGTTTTAAATTAGGGGCTATATCAAACATATACATATTTTAAAGAACTAACATTAACCTGGTATAGTTGAAGTTGAAATGTCTGTTCCCCCATAAGATAGGTAGGCTCATTTTAAATATTTTAAACATTTCAGAAGAGTGTAAAGAGTGTAAAGAAAGAGTGTAAAGAGTGTAAAGCATCCACAGTTCTACTACCCTTCCATAACTACTCTTAATATTTAAATGAACATTTTCCCAGAGATCCATGTAAGCACCTTTGCATACACACATTTTCATAATGAAATCATATCTTGTATGTTTTTCACACTGTACCCTATGTCATGGACTTCTTCTGCATCAATAAAGACAGATCCACATTATCATTTTAATAACATCCCTTTACAATTATCAGAAATAAGAAACTGTTTTCATCTTCATCACTGTGTATTAATACCAAAGCAGTTAGTTGAAGAAAGTGATTATAAAAAACTAGTTGGCCATTCCTCATTTTAGAAATTCTATTTAAACAGTATTGAAATACTTTCTTCAAATTGTGGTTCTATTTAGACAGAAAATGAAAGTTTAACTTTTAAAGGACAAGAAAAATTAGGGAAATGGTTATGAAGAGATTATTTTGTAAATGAGAAAAGGGTAAATGACCATTTTAGTTGAGAATTAACTCGTTTTACAAAATATAGGCATACTTCATCTTATTGCACTTTGATTTATTGCACTGCAGATCTTGCATTTATTTTACAAATTTGAAGTTTTGGCAAGTGTGTCAAGCAAGTCTGTTGGTGCCGTTTTTCCAACAGCATGTGCTCATTTTGTGCCTTTGTGTCACATTTTGGTAATTCTCATAGTACTTCAGACTTTTTATTCATTCTTATATCTGTTGTGATCTGTGATCAGTGATTTTTGATGTTACTATTGTACTTGTTTGGGGGTGTCACAAATTGCACCCATATAAGATGGTATGCTTAATCAGTGAGTGTTGTGTGTGTTCTGATTGCTTCAGTGACTGACCATTCTTCCATCTCTCCCTCTCCTTGGGCCTTCCTGTTCCCTGAGACACAATATTAAAATTAGAACAGTTAATAACCCTGCAGTGTTTCAAGTGAAAGGAAGAGTCACATGCCTTTCAATTTAAATAAAAAACTAGGAATGATTAAGCCTAGTGAGGAGGGCATGTTGAAAGCCAAGACAGGCTAAAAGCTAGGCCTCTTGCATCAGTTAATTATGTTTTTAATGCAATAGAAAAGTTGTTGAATGAAATTAAAAGTGCTAGTCCAGTGAACACATGAATGATTTAAAAAAAAAAAAAGCCTCATTGCTGATATGGAGAAAGTTTGAGTGATTTGGAAGAAGATCAAACCAAGCACAACATTCCCTTAAGCCAAAGCCTAATCCAGAGCAAGGCCTTAACTCTTTTCAGTTTTATGAAGAGGGAGAGAAGTAAGGACTTTGTAGAAGAAAAGTTTGAAGCTAGCAGAGATTGATTCGAGAGGTTTAAGGAAAGTAACTGTCTCTATAATATAAAAATGTGAGGTGGAAGCAGTAAGTGCTGATGTAGAAGCTGCAGCAAGTTATCCAGAAGATCTAGCTAAGACCATTGATAGAAGGTGGGTACACTAAACAATAGATTTAAGCCTTATATGTGAAGAAGATGCTAACTAATCCTTCCATAGCTAGAGAGGAGTAATCAATGCTTGGCCTCAAAGCCCCAAAGAATAGGCTGACTTTCCTGTTAGTGGCGAATGCAGCTGGCGACTTTAAGTTGAAGCAAGTGCTCATTTGCCATTTTGAAAATCCTAGGGCCTTAAGAATTTATGCTAAATTTATTCTTCTTGTACTCTATAAATAGAAGAACAAAGCCTGAATGACAGCATATTTGCTTACAGCGTGCTTTACTGAAATTTTAAGCCCACATTTGAGACTTACTGTTCAGAAAAAAAAGACTCCTTTCCAAATATTGCTGCTCATTGACAATGCACCTGGTCACCCAAGAGCTCTAATGGAGATGCACAACAAGGTGAATGTTGTTTTCATGCCTGCTAACGCAACATTCATTCTGCAGCCCATGGATCAAGGAGTGATTTCTGTTTTGTAGTCTTATTATTTAAGAGAGAAATTTCATAAGGCTATATCTGCCACAGATAGTGATTCCTCTGATGGACCTGGGCAGATTAAGTTGAAAACCTTCTGGAAAGGATTCATCATTATAGATGCCATTAAGAATGTTTGTGATTCATGAGAGAAGGTCAAATATCAACATTAATAGGAGTCTAGAAAAAGTTGATTCCAACCCTCATGGATGGCTTTGAAGGGTTCAAGTCTTAAGTGGATAAAATAACTATAGATATAATGGAAACAGCAGGAGAACTAGAAGTGGAGCCTGAAGATGGGACCGACTTGTTGCAGTCTCATGATAGAACATGAATGAATGAGGAATTGCTTCTTATGGATGAGCAAAGAAAGTGATTTCTTGAGATGGAATGTACTCCTGGTAATGATGCTGTGAACCTTTTTTTAATGACAACAGAATTTAGAATATTATGTAAACTTAGTTGATAAAGCAGTAGCAGGATTTGAGTGGACTGACTTCAGTTCTAAAAGAAGTTCTGCTGTGGGCAAAATGCTGTCAAACAGCATCACATGCTACAGAGAAATATTTTATGAAAGGAAGAGTCAATTGATGCACCAAACTTCATGGTTGTCTTATTTTTAGAAGTTGCCACAGCCACCCCAGTCTTCAATCACCACTACCCTAGTCAGTCATTAGTCATCTACATTGAGGCAGAACTCTCCACTAGCAAAAAGACTACAACTGCTGAAGGCTTAAATGATTGTCAGCAATTTTTGAAATACAGTATTTTTTGAATTTTTGTACATTTTTTTTTCTTTTTGAGATAAGCCTCACTCTGTCACCAGGCTGGAGTACAGTGGCATAATCTCGGCTCACGGCAACCTCCACCTTCCAGGTTCCGGCAGTTCTCCTGCCTCAGACTCCCGAGGAGCTGGGATCACAGGTGTGCGGCACCATGCCCAGCTAATGTTTGTATTTTCAGTAGAGACAGGGATTCCCCATGTTGGCCAGGATGGTCTCAATCTCTTGACCTCGTGGTCTGCCCACCTTGGTCTCCCAAAGTGCTGGGATTATAGGCGTGAGCCATCACACCTGACCAATTTTGTGTACACTTTTAGACATAATGCTATTGCAGTCAATAGTTTACATAATATAGTGTAAATGTGACTTTAAATGCTTTATTGAAATTTTTGCTTTATGTTGGTGGTCTGGAAGTGAATACACAATATCTCTGAGGTATCTCTATATGTAGTTGAGAGTTGCATATAAATAGAATAAAATTATGTTTTGTACTATTTCATAATTATCTAAGTTTTCTGACTTTAATTCTATTAAGTGCTATTAAGTGGTATCAAGGGAAGAGAGAGGAGCTAGGTTTTCTTAAGAGATACAAAAGAAACAACACCTTTAAGAGCTTCTAGACCATCTTGGAAGAAAAAAAAAATGAGCCAAAAGGTTTGCAAAC